GGCGGCTGACACGCGGCATGCACGCCGGGCGCACGTCCCTGGCTGCTGATGGTTGAAGCGCAGGGACTGCAAGGCAGACTCCGAGGAGCATGATTGCTGGAGGGTGGAGGGACCCTAGGACTTGGACCAACCACCGAGTGTTGGAGTCCTTCCGGCACCGAGTAGCGCTTGCACCCATGCAACGAAGGGGAAACCTCCCAAGCGTTTCTGATAACTGCTTTATAGCACATGTAATTCTCAGGTAATCAGTGTTATTATTACTATCTCCATTTCGCAGATGGGTGAACTGGAGTAGAGATGGGTTAAATGAGCCCGGATATGAATTTAGGACGGTCTGACTCCCAAGGCTGGTCTAAAGAAATTGAGGTCCGGTGTGGGGAATTACAACAGCCTGCATTTAGAGATGGCTTTATGGGCAGGTAAAGCCTCGACCTCGTGGTAGCCCCTGGAAGCTAATCTCAGTTTGTCCTTTAGGGGTCAGGCCAGACCATGGCCAGACCAATCTCATCTCCAAGACATTCCAATTATCCCTTCATGGCCATCTGCAACGTCTGCATTCCTCCGCTGTGTTGAGTCTGGGTTAATACGGAGCTCTGCGGGGCCAGCGCAGTCCGGAGGTCACTAGCTGGCCAGTTGGAACAGTCTAGTTACTAGGAGAGGAGGGTGCCCAGGCCGAAGCAGGGAGAGCCCTGGGAGTCTGCCGCAGAGAGGGACCGGAACTGGCAGGCAGCTTCCAGAGGAATGGGAGGTGACAGGCTTGAAATCCACTTGGAGCTGAACAGGGGAAGACGGTTAGTTGGGTGGGTGGGGCAGCAGAGGAGCGAGGGCCAGTGGGAAGAGACCTAATGAAGGGCTGAATTAGATGACACACCCAGATTGGATGTAGGATCCTGGGTTGAGAGAAACAATTGGGATGGCTGCACGGACTGGCCCTTATTCTCTGGGCCTCTGTCTCTGTAAGATGGAGAGATGTCCCTTAAGGTCTGAATCCACACCTTCCCCTTCTCTCCTCGTGTCATCGCCTGCCATTCAGTCCTTGCCAAGAAGCCTCAGGAACACTCAGCCCTGCCCACACAGCCACAGCATCCCCAATAAACCCCCGAATTTGTCATGACAGCCCCAGGGATTTCTGGGTCATGCTCCAGATAGCACTGAAAGATTTCAGGATCAGAATTTCAAAGCAAAGGATGAAGGTACGATAATCCCAAGAGAAGCCAGCATCAAGACTGTGGTCTAAACAAATGACAGTGTTTAGACAGTATTTATAGAGATTCAAAACAAAACAAAACAAAACAGAAAACTAACCAGTCTGTGCAGGTAGATTGACCAACTCAGTTGGGTAGGCAAAGTGACCCACAGCCCTCAGCTGAGAATTTTTTTTTTAAATAATAGCCTTGGATCTTTTAGATACATTAGATATATTCATTGGTATACATGCTTTCCTATCGAGCTCTTTAACTGGCCACTTTGGAAAGACTAGGCACAATTTTCTGCTCGAGAATAAAAGGTACAAAAGATGGAAGTGCTGAATTTTAAATCCGTAATCTTTTTTTTTTTTTTTTTTAATTTTGCCAGAGAGTGTGTCTGCTCACCAGAGAGAGAAAGAAAACAGGAGAAAGCAACCACCCCACCCAACCCCCCGGGAGCAGCCACACACAATCCCTTCTTCATTTCTCCATTTGAGATTTTGAACATGCACACACATATGCGCACACACATATGCCTGGCATGTTTCTCAACCTGCCGGGTCCAGGCCTTGAACGACACAGTCGGCCATGTGGGATCCACGTGCTGCATTGGTGTGCAAACTAGATTTTTCTGAAAGAAATTGGAAAGTATAAAGTGGCATCCCTTTCTCAAAAATAAAGTTTTGCAGTTACAGAGAACATTTGTTCTCAGGCTCCTTTGGGTCCTTTGTCAGTTGTTAGAAATTCCTTTATCCACGGCTTTTGGTCTTGACAACATTTTTTTTTTGGTCATTCCAAGCACATTTATTTTTAGAGATTCTTGGTATAGGGTGTGTGTGCTCACTGTGAGATGCAGAGAGACAGAAAGCAAGAAATCGCCCTGCAGGGGGGATGGCCACACTGCATCCCTTCTCTTCTATTCCCCCCTTGGGATCTTAGGCACACACGCACACGTGCCTGGCATGAGTTTTAAGCCATCGCGTCCGGGACTTGAACTGTGGTCAACTACATGGGAGTCCAGATATGAAACCAGTATACCATCTGCTGGTCCTACAAGCAAGTTTTTTAAGAGCTTTTCATGTCTCCCCACCCCTACCCCTTTTAGGTATAAGGCAAACACAGTAAAATGCACATTTCCACCACCCCAGAAAGTTCCCTCACGTCTCCTCCCAGCCATTCTCCACACAGGAGCCCTTACTGCAACCACAGGCCTGATTTCTAATACCATGCTTAGTTTGCCTTTTTTAGAACTCGAAATAAATGGGGTCAATCCCAAAATGCTTTTGTGATTTTCATGCACGTTCTGAGGTGTACGAGTAGTTCACTCCTTTTTTTTCTTTTTCTTCTAACTTTATTTTAAGAGAGCTTACGACTCATAAGAAATTGCAAAAACAGCACAAAGAGTTTCTGTGTACTTTTCACCCGATGAGAATATTTTATATAACCACAGTGCATGGTCAAAACCCAGAAAGTGACATGGATACGAGTCTTACTAACTCAGAGTTTATCGCGAGTTCCCAGTTTTTATATGCATTCTCGCGAGTGCGTGCAAGTATGATACTATAGCATTTTCTCACATGTGCTTTCACGTATTCAGATTGCAGAAGTGTCCCCCTGCGCCCAAGAACGCTCCTGTTACCATGTGGTCACATCTGGCACTCCCAACTCCTGGCAACCGCTAATCTGTTCTCAATCAGTACGATTCGTTATTCCAAGAATGTTACGTAAGTGGAACCAGACGGTATGGAACTCTGTGAGAGGGCTCTTGTCATCAGCCTGGTCCTTTGGAGATCCATTCAAATTGGGTATCAGATTTCCTTCCTGTTTATTGCTGAAGAGCCTCATGACTGTATCTGTTCACCCACTGAAGGACTTCTGGGTTGTATCTAATTTTAGCTATCCACAGTAAAGCTATTGTCAGTATCATACAGGGTTTTGTACGAACTTACTGTTTTCATTTCTCCGGGTATGTACCCAGAAATACAAGGTATAGCAAAGGCATGTCTAACTTCACGAAGCCACCAGACTGTTTTCCACAGTGACTATGCCACGTGACCTTAACCTCCCGCAAATAGGAGACATCCAATTGCTCTGATCAGCACCTGACAATGCCAGGGTTTTATTTATTTTATTTTTTTGCTTTTTTAAAAGTTTGCTAAGAGGTGCATGCATTAGCCAAAGAGAGAGAGAGAGTACCCTACCCTGCTGTGGGACTGGGAGATGACCACATGATGGTCCCTTCTCTGTTCCCCTCTTGGAATTTTGGGTACATGGACACATGCTCCTGGCTTGTTTATCAAGCTGCCAGGTCCAGGACTCAAACCACGTAACTGGCCATGTGGGGTCCAGCTGCCTCCACCACCATGCTACCGGCTGGCCTTTTCTTTTTAAAAGTGTGTTTAGTTTATCAGAGAGCAGAAGACAAGCACCCTCAATAGGATTTCACACCCCCGAACTCCTGCCAGCCTTCTAGCCTGCCAGCGACGTGAGCACACACACGCACAGGCATGTGCAGGTCAACCCAGGAAACAAACTCCAGTCTTCCACGTGGCCTCCAGCACTGCAGAGTGTTGTGCTACTGATGCGTCTCTGTGGCTAGGTCAGTATTTTTTTTTAGGTTTTTGCCATAGGGCATGTGCACTTGCCACAGAGAGACAGAGGGAGGGAAAGTGGAAAATCGCCCCCCAGGAGGAAGGGCCATATTGCAGTCCTTTTTCCTCCCAGTCTCCTCCTGGGATTTTGGGCATGCAGGCACACATGCCTGGCATGATTTTCAAGCCACTGGGCCTGGGACTTGAACTGTAGTCAGCCATGTGGGAATCCAGTGTCTTCACCACTGTGGCACCTGCTGGCTGCTAGGCCAGTATTTTATTTATTTATTTTTAAAAGTTATTTATTTAACTCTATTTCTTATTATTCTTATTATCTTTAAAATAATTTTTTAAAATAATTTTTTAAAGACTTGTTTTATTGAACTTTATTTATTTGTTTTAATTTGACCAGAGAGGGATAGAATGGGAGAGAAAAAGTGAGAAAGCAGGCTGCCAGATCTGGAACTTGAACTGTGGTAGGCCTTGGAGTCCAGTGCTCTTAACCACCATGCCACTTGCTGGCCCCTAAAGATTTTTTTTTTTTTGAGAAGTTTTTGCTATTGGGTGCATGCACTTGACAGAGAGAGAGATAGAGAGACAGAAAGCGAGAAATCACCCCCCAGGGGCGATGGCACGCTGCAATCCCTTCTCTTCCTTTCTCTTCTCAGGATCTTGGGCACACATGCACACACGCCCAGCGTGAGTTTAAGCCACTGCTGGGTCCGGGACTTGACCCGCGGTTGACTACATGGGAGTCCAGCGACATAGCCATTACACTAACCTCTGGTCCTCCTAAAGAATTTTTTAAAAAGATTTACTTGACTTAGGACCAGCAATTAGTGTAATAGCTATGTCGCTGGACTCCCATGTAGTCAACTGCGGTTTGTGTCCCGGACCCCGTGGCTTAAACTCATGCTGGGCGCGTGTGCGTGCGTGCCCAAGATTCCGAGAGGAGAATGGAGGAGAAGGGATTGTGGTGTGGCCATCTCCCCCCTGGGGGGTGATTTCTCACTTTCTGTCTCTCTGTCTCTCTATGTCTGTCTGGCAAGCGCACACACCCTATAGCAAAAACCTCTCAAAAAAAAAAAAA